TTTCGAGATTAAAATGTGCAATATGATATATGCGAGTTGCTTTAGTCGTACACGAATTTTATCTCACATTAATCACGATGTTAATGAAGTGACATGTCGAAATATCTGCAAGGCAGATCCAATAATGAGCATGTTTTATAAAAACTAAATAAGTCTTTTTTAGTTTGAAAAACGTTGATATCTTGCTTTTTGATTTTTTACATTAGATTTATTGTAGTAGATACAAATCAAAAGAATTTCATGTTTTAATATTTCTGCATTTTTATGTTTGTACAACGAATGTTGATAAAATTCACATCGGACAGAAGTAAATTAGAACTAATTTCCACGAAAACATGAACGAATATCAATACCTTTTTTTCCACATCGTTAATGCTTTTAAATAATTCTTCAAATATAGATGAACCAAAAATTTACGAACATAATCGTCATATGATGGACGATAGTCGTTGTATATTTTTACTGCTTCTGAAAGACTCCGTAAAGCTTGAATATATACACCTTTCCGTCTAAAACACAAACCAATTGTATATAATAAATTAGCTCGCTGAAGTGGTGTAAGATCAAGTCTAACTTGTAACTCATGTTGACTACAATTCAACGTTTTATCATTGAACTCTAACTGTAGTTCATATTGATGATAAATTTCATTAGCTTAATGTTTATAAGGACTGACTTCATCCGAATTCCCTTGTTTGAAATATAAGTCGTTCACTTTTTAATAGATATTAGCCAAGTGAGTATAATCTCAATTATTGTATAACATATCTAATGCTTCTTTGTAACATGATAGGACGACTTGGAAATTATCCATTCTCGACCAGATATCACCAATTTTATTGTAAATTTTGCTTGTTAATAAATCATGATCATCTAATAATTACAATGCAATACCATAGTAAAGAAACGCATTATCATATTGTAAAAGATGAAAATAATGGTAACCAATCATAATATTAATAATAATAAATTTTGGTCTGTCAATAAAGTTCTTATCCAACAACAGTTTATTGTAGAACTCAATCGCTTTCTCATAAATACCTAAATTGCTATAGGAATAGCCACAAAGTTGACTTACCGTACTTGCAGGTATATCTTGTAATTGCAATGCTTCTCTCGTTAACATTTTATAATATCGTTTGGTCATAGCTAAATCATCTTCTTTCATAAATAAATGAGGAACTTGTGTTGCATCTGCCAATTGCTTTTCAATATTATCAGTCATTTGTTTTAATTGTTCATCTGTTTCATTATTTAAAGTCAATTTAATATATCACGTCGAATCATTTTCCTGTTCAACAGAA